TGTTTTGAAATATTACATCCTGAGAATCCTATACTGTATCATATATGTTATTTAGAATAAAGCGATAAATATTATTATTTTATGATACCATTTACCTTCCCTAGTAGATTCGCATATTTCCCTCTAATTTTCTTTGGATAGGGTTTTCCTATTTATATATTGTTTAGGAACTTCCCCATAGAGTGCTTTGGATGGCAATACTTCACAGAGACCTGACGATTTAAGGTTTGTATTTTATTCGTCATTGTTGTGTTTCAACGCAGTACCTTAATTCAGGTAAATCTTGTGCTTTTAGATCTAGCACATAATTCAGTTTATTTGTTGAACAATCACTTTTCATTCTGAACTTCTTAGAAAGAAAAATCACGTATAGAATCTAATTGATTTCGTTATCGAGAAGACGATGGTCTATTGATGAATCCATCGTACCCGACAAATTATTGTTTTGTCTTTGCTAAGTTAAGGAACTTTTGTGAGCCAATTCTGATAAACATGTGAGCTGATTGATTATTTCAATTAGTTTATCATCCAAATTTTCATCATTTTTATTTATTACAACTATAACAATAAAAATAATTCTGATTACGATTTCTTAGGTTGTTTATCTGGTGGGCAGTTCAATTTCGTCATTGCTGACTGTAATACAATTATTTATCATATTGTGCTAGTATCATTCGTATGGATTGGCATGATTATATTGCTTAGCTATCTTCACAATACAATCAGGTAAAAATAATTTCCCAAAAGAAATTGGTCAGAAAGGTGTAAGAGAAAAAGCTGAGCAAAAAAAAGTCAGTCAAAATATGAAAACCGAATCAATCGTTAATATTGATGTGTTCAAATATTTCTAAGCATTTGACTGACTCTGTGATCCCAGTACTCTACGACCTTCGGTATTCCAATTCATTTTACACGATCTACTTCTAGTGTGTAGCTAAGATTCCGTAGTGAGTCTTATCGACGAAATAACGATGCAGCAATGGGGTCACGATCGATTCCTCTTCTAGCCGATTACTTCGCGGTTAATTTGGAAAATAAAGTACTACTCCCAGTTCTATCTACATAGAAAATACTTGGATGCTACTGTCATCATCTCCAGTGCGGGAATAGATCTTGATGACATGCTACTAAGGTTCAACGATTGTTGTCTCCAGATCGATTTGAAGATGGAAGTTGAGAACCAGGAACTTCATTTTCTTGATATTTCGTTGAAGAGGAGACCTGATGGTATTCTGAAAGGGTCAATCTGCAGGGAACCAACTTAGAACAGACTATATGGCAATTTCCACTTGATTATTACTGCGCTGATAATAACAAGAATTTGAACTAATTACACAAGAAACTAAAAGTTGGAAAACCTTCAAAACTTCCTATTCCTAACAGCTACCTTCCTTAAGATTCATTGCGAAACATATTAGATCAAAACAGCACCAATAACGAGTTCCTACTGTTATTAAGATCTTATTCATCAATATCGAATTGCAGGGAGATAACGCTGCAGAATAACTGAAGAACCACTTTTCTTAAGCAACCAGAATGATACTCTATGCCATTGAACGAGCTTTTCGAGCCAAAAGTTGGTTCTATGTAGCGTGAGGCAGAAACTGCTACTTTGGGTCACATTTATGTGTATCTATCAGTTTACCTACTTCTATGGAGCTGCCTGTATAAGCCACACAAAGCGCCTTTTTCCCGTATACATCTGCGATCACTATCCTGCATGTCTGTCTAGAGGAAAATGCAGGTCAAGTAACAGCACCACTTGTTCAGGTCATTTCTCCAATCTTCTTCCAAAATACTATACAAAGTCAAACAAAACGAGTTTGGGGTCGTCTTTTCTGAATAGATAAGGAGTTAGCAACCAAACAACTTAATCTGTGTACGGAAGAGGTAAGTTTAATCTCCGATAATCTTCCTTAGGTTTTCTTCAATATGTGTCTTACTCTCATTGACTGATTATTGTTTCTACTTTATAGGTTAGCTTCCTGCGTCTACGTGTTAGTTCGGTTTCCCCACTGAAATTCTAGTGATATTCTACGCCGATTATTAATAGCATTATTGACTCATTTAACCCATAAGTCATCATCACGATCGACTGCGTACTTTTTCGTACACACCGTATGATTACGCAACCTCTTTCAAACTCCGGAAACAACTTACTTTATTTTCCTTGAACATTGCTTTTTGATTACCTACTAGCCAATAAGACTTGTTTCACAGTATAAGGTGTATTTCACTTGTGTAATTCCGGCATGGTATTCTAACATACCACCCCGACACCATACTATTAAAATACACCTTATAATATGGATCATACTAATTCGGTGCCCACGTTTTTCCAAACCATCCAGTCTACTATTGGTCAGGATAGGTTTGTTTTCACTATAAATACATAGTTACTGAAAGTGATTCATCGGAAAGAACATTTTCTTCACTGAATTAATGAAGTAATTTGAAAGTATATGATTGCTGCACTGCAGGCTGTGTGGAGGAAACCCACGAAAAACACAGGAAGGATAATCTGAATTTTTTTTCTTACCATGTATTAGTCATTCATCTAACTCTACAATTGTTACAATGAAAACATACCCAGTGAAGAACTGATGGAGAAAACTTAGTACTCGATGTTAAGTATATTTTATGAGTAGGTGAGAACTAGAGGAAGTGTTAGGATACTTGTTACTGGTTAGCATCAATCAAAAGACAGTCGTACCAGCTGGCAAGTCTGTTAGCCAAAACTAGACAAAATATCTATACACACATTTTGAAAGCAGATTAGGACCTAATCGAGTTTGTTAAGTAGTGCAACATAAATTCCCATCATGCAATATCAGTGCTTGAGTGAGCACTTATGAGTAGTATGCTCTTCCGTCAATCACTTAACTTGGTAACATCTACTGTATGGCTGGTCAGTTCGCTTTCTTGACATTACCAGTAGTTTCAAATAAACCATGTTGCTTCCTTTCAAAAGGAAACTATAATAAAGCTTTGAAAACGTTTCCACCTAGTTCCTAGTTATCATCATCATCATCATTATCAACATAGGACCAGGCATTGCTGCGTAACGGTCCGAGTTGCCACACCTCATATCAGCACATCAAGTAAAAAGGTAGTGAGGCGAAGGATGAAGATAAGTGAATGCAGTCAAAAGAAATATAAAGTACGAAAAGAAAAGAAAGAGGAACCACCAGGGCAGAAAACTCACTACTAGACTGGATCCCAGTTGATAGTCCCCTCTGCGCTATGAGGCTGAACGGCACAGTGAGAACCAAAAGGAATAGTGAGACTCGCCGTTGTCTCTTTGTAATCTCTGCTTACGTACCCACTGACTGTAGTTCGGATGAAGTGAAGGACGAGTTCTACCATAAACTGTCTAACCTCCTCTCGAAAGCCAAACGTTCGGACGTAGTGGTTGTTGCAGGTGACCTCAACGCACAGGTGGGTAGACTGAGTGAGGCAGAAAGGCACTTAGGTGGCACTTTCGGAATCCCAGCTGAACGTACAGATAACGGTGATCGCCTATTACAACTATGCTCAGATAACCGCCTATTTTTAGCCAGCACAAATTTCAGACATAAAGAAAGGCACTGTCTGACCTGGCGTCCACCGAGCTCGACTCAGCGATGGACACAGATAGACCACATTGCTATTAGTCATCGCTGGAGAGGATCGGTGGAAGACTGCCGCTCCTTCTGGAGTACGTGTTTGGATAGCGATCATGCGTTGGTCCGAGCACGTATATGCCTGCGTCCCAATGGACGTAGAAAAAATTCGGCAACAAAACCACTACGAGTTCTGCTGGACAACGAAAACACCAAAGCCGTGTTCAGTGAGAAGTTGGCTAGGCAGTTATCGGAACAAAAGACTGTCACTCATCCAGAAGTTCCTAGTTATACCTAGAAGTTGCAAACAGCTAATTTGATTCTAGTCAAAAATAGCTATCAAAAGCAATAAGAATGAAAAATTCGTCAAGTATGGATTAAACGTGTACTACTGAGACAAACATGACATATAGCTCAAGACAACACTTTATCCCAACATTCTGCGTCGCATACTGATCACCTTTTTTCTCAAAGGCCAGTGAAGTACCGAGTATGGTTGTCGGTTGCATGATTTTCGTTGAAATTGAAATGTATTCATGAACTGTGTGCACGTTCGTATAGTAGGCAATGAACCACACCTAATGTATGATGGCTAATAATAAACCTCTGTAGATGGGGCGGGGCTCGACTCTACAACCCATTAGTTAAAAGTCACCTCTCTAAACCAATGAAACCATCTCAACAACCGAAGGTACATAGGACTTCGCTTACTGAAAATCGATCTTCAGTATATATGGGAGTACGTTGTCAAAACATATTGTTACTCGTATGATGTTCCCAACAAACAGAAGTTAATTTTTTTTTAAAGCTAAAAGCAGTTTAACTTGGTAAAGACATCTGTGTACCAAGCTATTCGTAACACTAATTGTGTGACAGCTTGCAATATCAGCCGGTTATCCAAGGTGAAATAAATGAAATGGGATTTGAAAACGGTACCCACTGCTTGAAATCCGAGGATAGAAACCAATGAGTAACAGCTCCATGAGAGAAAACAATTGACGCTGGAGAGGAGAGGTAGTTAGGATAAGAAATACATCCAACAAAAATTCTTCCTTCACGAAAACATTCGCACAAGCGATAGGATCAGACTATTTATCTACTCTGTAACAAACTGATAAACATTATAACAGCGAAGCAGTTGAATTATGCTGACATATATCTCTAGGGTTTCGCGTGTTCCACTATTTAACATGTGTAAACCTTGTACTATTGTTTAAGAGGTCAAGTAATAGCTTTCGGAAAATATTTTTGACCAAGAATCCACAGTTCATACTTGCAATTCCTTAATGAATTTTGTTTCCTTGGTTTCATCATACGATAATATTTCTAGAGAAACACTACTGCTTATGAGTGGTGTTATACTATGAATGGTCTTTGAAATACACGAAAACAGTGAATCGAACCGAGACTCAATTTATGTATGTAGTATATACAAACTTACTAAGTATACAAAACTAGGAATCATACCAAAAATAAGATAAATCGTGATACATAGGTAATCTTCAGTAAAAGAAAAAGAGGAATTCTATTGTATGCAAAGAGTATGAAAATCGAGGGGGAAAAAAGAAAGGAAGCTAAATGAATATCATAGTGACCAAAAAAGCACCGAACACCTAATTTATCCATATACAAAAACATGAGATTCAACATGACTAAAAAATTTTTCACTCAGCCTACTTAAAGGAAACATTAAAAAAAATATTCATCGTGACAAAATTAATCAGTTATCAAGAGAATATGGATGTATGTGACGAGGTAGTCGTTCGGTATATTATAAGATCCCTTTATCATCAAGCAGTTATGCAGATGTTTCATATGGCAACATACTGCCAAATTTTTAAACGCATCAGAATAATTACCCGTTTTGTGAATAAATGTATATTGAAAAATCAGTTACTGTAACACTCCATATCCTCCAATATTACCCTACGTGGAGTGTTACAATAACTAATTTTTCAATATACATTTATTCACAAAACGGGTAATTATTCTGATGCGTTTGAAAATTTGGCAGTGTGTTGTTATAGGAAACATCTATATGACTACTTGATGGTTGAGGATTGTTACTATCCTGACTTTGGTAAATGTACTGATGAGCATGTGGTATCACATTATTATTTGGTATCGGATTAATAGATGTTGTAACAGGAATTGTGGGTGGATCAAAACTTTTTTCTTGTATAGGCCAAATACCGTGTTCAATAAGATTGATTAGACGACAGCTTGTTGGATCTTCAGCAGCTAGTTTAACAAATACTAAGTGTTCAAGGCACTTGTACGCAATGGATCGTAAAGGAGGTAGTCTTAGCAACAATTTTGTAAATCGAGAAGTATCTTGAGGTTGATTTGTTGTACAATAAGAATGAAGGGCTGAATAAAGTTGTTCTCGAACAGCTTCTACACGATGACGTGATAATAACCCATTAGCGTCTAAAAGAATAACAAGGAATGAGTATTATGAAAATATAAAGCCAGCGATTTCAATAAAGAGCTATTTGTTCGATTATTTCAAAGACAAGACAGAACAAGGTAGAATTCAAAACTACAAACAGTAGTAATCAATAATTGTGACATTTCTAGATAAACTAAATGTTAGACATCAGGGCACATGAAACATACTTTTAGTTGTTGTACATCATTCAGTTTAGAAATTCGATAACAGTATCCTAGAACTGTCAATGCTGCAACCAATCCATTTAAACAAAATAATCGCTCGACAGACAGCAGCCCACAAGATAGTCAAGTTTTAGATTACTCAATGCAATATGTTTATCTCAATTTCAGAGTGGAATATAAGCCTATCCAGTGAAGTGAAACGACTTTGCATAGTATTTTATTTGATTTTTAACTTACAGAAATCTAAATAAGGATTCTCTTATTTTAGTTATGAGTGACTGAGATTCGAATCTTAGACGTAGCATCAATACATTTAAAGTCCCAGAAACATTGTATAGATGAGTGATAACAGGTGTGTACTAGCGATAAACATTTAATTTCAAAATTTACTACTACATCGGTTCAAAGTATTTTTACAGATTGATAACTATCATTTAGATATCATTTACAGTAGTTAACTTTTAAAGTCTTATTAGGGCACAGTTAAACGAATATAGGTGCTTTTTTGAGAATATAGTGGGGGGGAGGAGGAGGATAACTTTGCGAGGTGGACACTAATATGAACATGACTGACATTAAAAGCTTCAGTTAGAAACAAGATTATCCTTAATGACTATCACTTTCAACCATTATAGCCGTGAACATTTTTCACTCCCATTGGCATAGACTTTATAATCATTATGATTATACGCAATTATCATACGATAAAGCACTTGATTCTACACCGACAGACGCTTTTCATTCCTTTTTACATCCATTAGATGATCACTTAAACATATTGATATATAAACTGTAATGTGCAACTTTCCTTAGTTGTAGCTAGCAGGAGAATCCAAGATGCGCGTTTCGTTTTATTTGGGACTCGTCAGCTGGGTGTATCTGCACTCCAGTGAGTGATGTTGCCCCAACGAGACTCGGACCTCGTACCCAACGCTTCAAGTGCCAAGGCGTTATCCAATAGGCTATATTGAGATTTACCGACAGGTGAGTAGTTCTTCAACAATTCAACTGTGGTATCAATTAACAGAGCTAACCAAGTCGGGGACATAGTGTAGTTTTGACATAAGCCATCATGCACTAACGAAATATGTTATTAAACATCAATATGAGCGGTTTCTATAACCATTCATGATTTTGCGTAGTACTTTCGTTTAGATTAAAGTATGACGAGTCAACCTGCTTAGTTTCAAAACAATAGTTAATTTGAAATGTTCAGCCTAAAATCAAAAAACAAGCTGCAGAAGGCAGAAACCAACACGATCCACAAGTATGCATATCAGTCACTTTAAAAAGATATTAATTCACAGTTGTAACCGATACCTACTTTATTCATGCTCCTGTCCACCCCCCAAGCAAAATACTAGGCCGCATCAACCTGGAGAGACTGAAAAGTGCTCTGGATTGGAAATTACAACTGGAACAGGCTGATAGCTTCAGGAAAAACAAATCATGTGCGGATCACATAACAACACTAGGCTACGCATCATCATAGAACAGAGTATAGAATGGCAGTCAACCCTCTACCTCAACTTCATCGACTTTGAAAACATCTTCGATGGCGTCGACTGAGAAGTAATTTGGCAGCTGCTGCTTTAAAATTACGGTTTTAGTGCCACAAACCTTTATCAACCTCATTCAACAGCAGCTATATGCTATGTGAGCATGCTACATGCCGAATGACTCACAATCGAAAGCTCAGTGATGGCTGTGAAGTGAACATAGGAGTAAGATAAGGTTGTTTACTATCGCCAAACATCTTCCTGAATGTGTAGTCGACTGGACTGGATCACGCAACAAAACGTGAGGAGCGAGAAGAGGGGCATATGTTGTTTGACAGAGGAAAAGACCGTAGAGGATTTGAATTTCATCGATGATCATTCATATCTGAAGTTACACAAAGTCGAATATCTACAGGCGAAGACTAACAAGATGGCAGGAGAGGAAGTGAAGATGTAAAGAAACCAGAGGTGATGAAGATACCCAACCAACAACAACAAGCATCAATCCCCATTAACGGGGGAAATCTAAAGGAAGTTGTCTATTTCACCTACCTAGGCAGCATCTTTTCAACTACAGGTGACACAGAGACAGATGATATCAAAACCAGGATCGGAAAAGTAAGACAAGCCTTCCTGCATTAATCTGAAATCAGTGTGGAGATTTACTGCACTCCACTCCACTCCACTCCATTACACTCAGCATAAAGCGTGAACAAAATCCGGATTTTGAACACTAATGCCACTCAAGTCAGTGGTTCTATATGATGGTTGACAGACTTGGCACGTTACGAAAAGCATTCCCAACAAACTACAGACATTCATCAACAGCTGCCTCCCAAGCTCACTCAATACTAAAGATCAGATAACCAGAAAGAATAAGCAACAAGGAACTCACTATGGCCTGGCAACGGACCAAACAAGAACCCATCACCCAACAAATATGCAGGAGAATAAAGTGGAGATGGATTGGACTGGACTGGACATACACTGAGAAGACCGATTGGGGACATCACGAGCCAGGTCATACCCTCGAGTGGAACCCACATGGGAAACGACGAGTTAGGCGTCCGAGATGAGGGTGACATGGAGGAGATGTTGTGAGGAAGAAATGAAAGCATATGGGCAGCGGTAGAGCCAGGTTCAAAAGACTGCAGAGAGGAGAGTGAAATGGCGACGTGCTACAGAAGCCCTATGTTCCACTACGAACCCAAATGACAATAATAATGGACTGTAACATGACAAGTGTTGACTACCTTTCAGTTGTATTTTTTCAAACCAATCTACTGGCTAAGAAAGCTAATGGTACAATAGCTGGTGGGAGAGAAATAACCATAAAAGGACCACTGAAACGCCTGGCAAGATATCTAATTATATCCAATTAAACTACTTGTATTTCCTAACAGTAGAAAGGATTAGCATAAATGCTTGTATTATACTGTCATTGACTAGACCGAATTGATCGGTCTCTATTGGTTATATGGGCTGCTGTGCGTATGCCTCGATATTACCTGTGTCTTAGTTGTAGTAATGATGGAAATGCACATCCTGGATTCCAATGGTAGCCACTATCCATCATTACTACAAGTAGAAGGAATTGATAATAAACTACTTACAAACTAACTTACCCGGATTAAAAAGAATAATAGAGCGCAACAGGGCTAATTCAGTTCTTTGCAGCGATAAATCACGAAAACGTGCAACGAGTTCATGAAGGATTCGATCAACAAGTGGACCTAGACCATGTGTTCTTGCCACTTCCCTCCCAAGATGACGTCCGTTTGATAAAAGTAAACCATCTCTGATGACAGTTGAATGATAGGCTGAACTGATTAGGACTAGTTCAGGCCATGCTGAAGTAAAAAGTAATTTGACTTTAGTTTTTTTTAAAGAACTTAATAATTATGATAACAGCCAATCAAGCAATTTGGGATACAACATAAGAAACTAAAAAACTGAAACCTCGGAAAATCACAGCTAGTTTCTGTTCATATGAAATCTCCGTACAAAATTCAGCATCAATAGCACCTGGAAAAAGTTACATTCCCTGACATGAGTGTATGTTACACTTCCACAGGAGTGACAGTAAAAAATGAATATCACTAGTCTACAACTGGATAGACAAGTGAAATTCTGTTGCTTTCTGGAGTACCCATTGATGAACACCAGTTTTATTACATCAATATTAACAGAATCTTTTTTTTCCAGTCGTTTAATGATGATTTTGCCACTTGTACTTAGAGCTTTAATATGGATCATCATAAGTTGGTTAAAGGGGTTGTTGAACACCTCCCCGTGTGACGATTAGATGATGATAGCTAGTCAGTTGTGGTGTTCTGTGTGAAGTTCATTGTTACTCATATTGAAGTAACAGTTTTAACTCCCCGATGTTTTTATTAACAACTACACATAGTTATCCATATTCAGCAGAACTAGGTTATCCGAGGTGGAAAACTATCTAGATAGTAGTAGCATAATTTCAGAGGCCAACTCGGAGGAATAGTGGCTTCTGGCATGCGTCTGAAACGCCTAATCGCTTGGTTTACATCTCGTCACTCTATCAAAATTTACTTAAGGGGAATAGCACTGGAATCACGTGTTTTGAAAAGAATACTAATAGTTAGCATTCTTGTAGCAAAACTGTTCCACTGGCGAAATTGCGAGCGACTACCATTAGCAAGATGATAGGGTATTGATATCTCTCCTGACGACAAGTATTATCTAACTAGGCAGTCGCCTGGCTTTTAAAATGATTGGATGGTTTATGTAGACAGGCGATGAGAGCGGGGATGTACTCGTAAACAATGTCAGTGGTTACGAAGTGGTAGCACGACGATAACAGTTAACTTATTCGACGGATCTTCGTAAATTCTTGAGGAAATCTGGTATGAGATATTTTGAGTTGGTTGCTGTCGCAGTCCAAAATTTGGTTTTTATATTTTTGCTGAACACCTAAATTTGTAAGTGTTGAATGTATTTTGATTTGTTCTCGTAGTGTATTCAAAAACATTGACCACTCATTTTGTTTAACTTCATTCAATTTGCTTGTACAACCATATTTAACCACTTGTTTCGATTAGTGTTACGATTGTATTTCGTTTTGGATAGAAACTGTATTAGCCGTTAAAATTGAAGGTTCGTAATTGAGTTCCGTACATATAATTTGTTGTAAAGAACAATTTTCGCAGGGTTCACTTACTGTTTGAATATACATTCGTTTTTTGGCAACCAAATGTTTTGGATTTGGTCGGTCTCGCTTAGGGCTTTGGGAACTCCGAAAATTCGTATCTTCGTTACGTGCTACTCAGTGGGTTTGACGTAACAGTGAGGTTGTATAACGTCCCAGTCGAATGTGTGATTGGAATTTTCCAAACAAAGACAACAAATATAATTCACAAAATCAACTACAAAGATTGTCCACAAAACCACTTTGACCAGTCTTACTGTCGGATTGTTCGAAAAACTGAAAGACACCAACTAGCAGTAAAACAGTATGAAACATCGACCTAGGCTTCAGTGCATGCAGATAATCACAAACACATATTTGACTGGGAAGATGTGGACATTTTACAAAACCCTTGCCAAAAATCTGGAAGTCTGGTATTCAAACGATGAATGGTCAATTGGCAGACAAGTCGATATAGACCCAATTTACAACTCACTTAAGAAGAAAACAACCATCAGTCAATTAAATGAAAGCCCGTCAAACGAATGTGTTCATACTTAAGGTTAGCAACAAAAAGCACATTTTAACTTCAGCAAAAACTATTTCCCAGGTTGAATCGAGCTGCGACAAAAATCTCTTCCGCAACTCACAAATGGATAGAATTCAATGCCTAAAAAACACAATCTAAACATTCGTGTGATATCGCTAACTTCTCTATGAAATCAGTGATGATGCTACCAAGCCTGGTGACAGAATACTAAAACTTAAGGTTTTGATATGATAGATTTAAGACACACCACTATACTTACAGGTAGGAGATTACAAGTATCATCGGTCAAATAAACGCTGTCGATGAGGTACGGAACAAATGTGAACCGTTTTATGGAACTATTTTTAAGTTTTTCTATGTTCCTATGTACACACTAGTTTCATTTCCAACTGACATCAACTTTTCCTTCCGCCTAGCTAGACTAGAAACCTACAACAGTTCATGAAGTTTGCAACTGTTGATCTCACTCGTATGGGGTGTGCAGAGTACCTAAGTGAGGTCTGCATGACCAAAAACCGATGGTTGAAAACTTTTTGCGATTTAGCCCAGAGTTCGCACCTTATTTGTTGTACCACACTTCATTATTGGCTCTTACACATCTCCCTTTCATTTAGATTTGGTTCTCCACGGCTTAGGATGACATTAATTGCGTTTTTTAAAACTTAATCCTGTTATCTTGTATTTCTGTATGCTATTTGAGATATAACTATTTAAATTGCTATTCAGCAATCCTTGGCTTCATACAGATACTCAGTGACTTAATTCCATGTAAAAAAAATTGCGCTATTTGATTGACTTATTTTAAACTTGACAGAACACGGGCACCAAGAGCCTTTTCTCAACTCTACATACCTAATACCAAGATCCTTTATTTCTTATTTTATTTGTCCCTTGGGTTTGTAGTGGAACATAGGGCTTCTGTAGCACGTCGCCATTTCACTCTCCTCTCTGCAGTCTTTTGAACCTGGCTCTACCGCTGCCCATATGCTTTCATTTCTTCCTCACAACATCTCCTCCATGTCACCCTCATCTCGGACGCCTAACTCGTCGTTTCCCATGTGGGTTCCACTCGAGGGTATGGCCTGGCTCGTGATGTCCCCAATCGGTCTTCTCAGTGTATGTCCAGTCCAGTCCAATCCATCTCCACTTTATTCTCCTGCATATTTGTTGGGTGATGGGTTCTTGTTTGGTCCGTTGCCAGGCCATAGTGAGTTCCTTGTTGCTTATTCTTTCTGGTTATCTGATCTTTAGTATTGAGTGAGCTTGGGAGGCAGCTGTTGATGAATGTCTGTAGTTTGTTGGGAATGCTTTTCGTAACGTGCCAAGTCTGTCAACCATCATATAGAACCACTGACTTGAGTGGCATTAGTGTTCAAAATCCGGATTTTGTTCACGCTTTATGCTGAGTGTAATGGAGTGGAGTGGAGTGGAGTGCAGTAAATCTCCACACTGATTTCAGATTAATGCAGGAAGGCTTGTCTTACTTTTCCGATCCTGGTTTTGATATCATCTGTCTCTGTGTCACCTGTAGTTGAAAAGATGCTGCCTAGGTAGGTGAAATAGACAACTTCCTTTAGATTTCCCCCGTTGATGGGGATTGATGCTTGTTGTTGTTGGTTGGGTATCTTCATCACCTCTGTCTTCTCAAGGTTCACTGCTCAGATATATTTACTTCAACTGAAAGATATGAATACTTATACAGCTAGGTTATTTATGTGCAATCTTACTAGCCTTGAGGTTGGTATAGTATGCGTTAAATTGAAAGAGAAGCTAACAAGAAAACAATCTCATCTTGAATCCAACGTAAACGGTTCATGAAAAACGTTAGAAAATACAATTTCCAAAATATCGACAAATAGGATCGATTCTACATAAATCACACACCATCAACAAACAAACCAAGTTTAAACTGCATGGGTATTTTTCATACTGAATAGACAGGTTTTTTATCAATCCATTTTCCCAAGTATGTTTAAAGTGAACATTTAGTTCTGAAGCTTTACTTGATAAATTAGCTACTAATCAGTGGAGAAAAAAATTTCTGCAGTAAGGTGAAGAGTAAACGATAACACAAATCACCTTGATAAAAAATCCATTTTTTAAAATTTTTCTTCAAGTCGAAAATCTTGTGCCTTCTTGTAGTTATCGGAATAGTGCAGTAATACTGACTAAACGAAAACTAAATTTTTCAGTAACTGCATGCATGTTCATGCAGCAGCAGGCGGCGATGGACCACACGCATTGTGTGTGGGCTAATTTAACTACCTGGCTGTCAAAAACTTGGTAGGTGGAGCAAAGTTTGAACCCATAAAGCACTAATAATGAGTATAATGTCCGAGACAATGAACCACAGCTCCATAAGTGCAATATTAACAGACAGCTTTACCACTTATCTCTGGTATTCATGTATTTTTCTTTACTGGACAACGGTACATCTTTGTATTCCTACAAAATTTGCGCAAGTAACGATAACTACTGATGAATATCGATTCACTTCTTTTTCCTGTGTTTTGTGAATGTCTAGTCTGAAACTGAAATGGTTTTTACTTCTAAATAATATGTGGATAAATGCTGTTTTTATGCAAGCAAAAAAGCGAACAAGTTTACACGCGAAATTCAAATACAATACCACTTACCAGCTTTTATTAAACAGAACTGATCATCTGCAGTGAGATAGGTAGATGAGAAAACTGGCAATTGACGTGCCCAATTAACAATTCGAGGTAACTGCTGCTCAATAGACTGACAGATTATAGTAAGTGGATGCAAGCCTGCATCATCATCACCGGGAATGTCTTCATAGATCGCTTCACCTCTCTCAGATAGAGCCAACTTAGGATCCATACTTAATTCGGCTGAAAGTAGGCATCGTAATGTTAAGACAGGCATTTCTGTATTTTCAGATATCACACTATTAGAATCAGTACAAACAGGAGAACTCTCCGGTTTAATATGATCAATTTGTATAGGTTCAGTATTAGACGTATTCGTTGTATTAATAGTAGTGGTAGTAGCTGTTGTCACATTCACTGTAGAATTCTGGTTAACAACTGAATCCTGACTAGTAGTAACCAACTCAACAGATTTGATAATATTTGATGGGCGACGTCCACGACCTCTCTTTTCGTACTTTACAGTTTTGGTGAATGAAGGTACAGGAGTAGGCGGTGGTTGGCGATGACGCTCTTCTTGAACAGCTGGAAAAAGTAACATTAAACGGTTAGTAGAAAACAGTTTCAACAAATTATATCTACATGGAAACGTATACAGTAGGGAGAGAGTAATCAAGATAAAAAATGGATGGACTTTGCCATTGAGAGATAGGTTGATAAAGCACTCTACGTCCGGAACGGTGTTTTCTGTGGTAGGTGAAACAAATGCGTTCTGATTGGTGAACGAGACTTTAAGCGCTTCAAAAGATATTAGAAATGCAAAGAAAAAATTATTTATAAAACAAACACAAAATGATACAAACAATTTTATTCCGAATAAAATGCCTACGTTAATTTAGTACCACTAACCAAACATTCAAGTTAGATCCCTAGAAAAACAAAAGGTGTTGCTAGGATCATTCGGTGCTTAGAGGAGCACTAATGAATGACATAATAGAACAGTAAACGTTACCGTCATTTGAGTAAGTAAAACATTCAAATATTAAATGTGTTCTAGCAGTATACACTACGAACGGATGACTCTGTGAAGTTACGAAGAAATTGAGCATCCAAATTGTTATTTGTAAAACCAAGTTTTCACCACTCAGTAGTGAAGATTTGAGAAGACGTTCAAGGTAAAAAAAAAAACAGTGAAGAACGAAAACACCACCGTGATATGACTATGTAAGAAGTTTTCAGTTGATAATGCTTCGAATAAGCAAAACAAGGGTAAAAGCTCTTTCCGACGAATAATTTTTGTAGATTGTAGATTGTAATCATAGTTTTGCTTTCTGTACGATGCAGAATTTTCCAGAACAGCCTTGGATATTTACGCTTCTTTGTACAACTTCTCAAGAAATTGATTCTAGTATTTGCTATCGCAAGCTTATCTTTTATTAATTTTTATTATCTAATGGGACTATTTCTATTGTCAGTAAAGGCTATGCTAAACACAATTCCCAGTTCAACAACAGAATTAACCTGAAGCACACTCAACACTTGTAAGTAGTACCAGTGTTACTTTAAAAGAGAAAACCGATCTTATTTAAAAGTTACAGGAAGTTTTTTTAATATAAGCCAATAAAATTTGTTCTTATTTCTAAACTTATTAGCTACCTATTTCAAAGTACACGAAAACGATTAAAAACAATCAAGGATTAGGGAAAAAACGGAATGTTCAACTAGTTGTTTTTAGAGTACGATTAGTTTGAAGATGACTTTTAAGATAAACTGCTACAAAATCAGACAGCACTTGATCAGACCTGAAAATCTTTAGGAGTACCTTTCATGATTAGTCAATCAAACATCGAAACATTTAACAGTTAAAATCCACGACTTGACTCGTCTATTATGTCGAATGTTCCTAAAAATGATTTTATGGAATTTATTTGTTGAAATAGGATTTAAGAGACTTTCATTGATTTTACTCAAAACACACCTGGTACAATAAACGTAGCAAAGAATGGATTACAGGATTTTCAAGAAAAGTTAGATCAAAATGACCAGCGAAATGTAGAAAGTAGAGATTTTTTGCTGACTCACCTTCTTTTTTCATACCCTTTGCTAAGCACTGCTCAAAGCGACAATACTGACAACGGGTGCGCTTTCGTCGATCTACAGGACATTGTCCAGATTCACGACAAACATATTGTAACTGTTTCCGTACTGTTCGTTTAAAAAAACCTTTACATCCTTCACATGAGATCACACCATAGTGTTTACCACTGGCCTTATCACCACAAATGACACATAACTGAGTACTTGAATTAACCGAAGAAGATTGACTCGATAATTCATCAAGCATTGAAGTTGAAAAGCATTCTGTATTACTCACTGCTGTCCTGTTTGCCTCAACAAGTAACATAACTGATCTACAATAGAATTTTAGAACATGGTAATATTATGTAAAACTATGAATGAAAATATTAGGCTATATAAATGAATAGTCATAAGTTTGTCAGTGAAACATAACGATTCAACAACTGAGCTAATGCAAAAAAAAACTGGTGTAGACCTACTTCTGGTTAATTCTTTGAAACCCTAAACCCACACGTTTCATATACACCTAACACCAAATGTCATCACACATCATAAACAATAATTATGAAAAACAGGTAAGATTCTGCAATAATTGCTTGAAAACACTTGGTATTCAAACCAGATTATTAAATAAATAAAATTCATTTCACTTTCTATGCGAACACAAAATAAAAAGCAATGCTCAATTGGTACAACACATACTCTACACTTTCCTAAATAATAACTCAACAGGATTGATTCCTTTATTATGAAGTAGTGAAGGAATTATCCAATTATTAGATAATTTAATGTCATGTCAATGGATATCGGACCAACTCTTCTGAGAAATTAGAACCTGAATAATAATAATACACAGCCTTAAATTCGAATTCGAAAGTCGATGATTACAAAGTTTTAGTTAATTTGAAACAATTGTTTTAATTACGTAATATCAGAGCTGTAGAACTAGTGAATATCATAAAGTACTTTGTCACACTTAAGAATTTATCGACAGCATTCAACCTAAATTCTTCAACAGAATTTGGCTATTTCAGAAGTCCCTTAGTTACCTAACCTAACTGAATCAACTGTAATTATTGAGTCCTAGTCGATAAGAAAAACAAAGACTAGCTATATCACTTGACTTAAAAATGTTGTATAAGTTTTAAACTTCCTTTTCACGATTTGATTATATGCAGTTCATTTATCATTCACTGGGTGAAATTGAATTTATTTTTCAAGAATCATGGATGAGAATGAAGTTTAAACAAACACGGGAATAACCATTATATTAGCAGTTATTTTACAATACACTGTTTTCAAAATAGATCAACTTTTCAGATTTAAAGGAGATATATGCAAATGTTTGCGTATGGGTCACATTTCATATAACGCGCTAGTGTTCTGATCAACTCCTGAATCTTTAAATGTACTAATCATTGTCTTTCAATGTTACTGTAAACTTTATAAAGAGAGTTCGTTTTCACTCATAATTGTTTTCAGTCTGAGATACTATAAACTCAGCTGATTACCAGTCTTTGGATTTCGCTTTGCAAATCACTGGGATTGAACCGTCTCAACCCTCGACTATCAATCGTATTATCGTTCGTTCTCACAACTCCGCATCGTAACAGAAACTAATGGCGAAATTTGAAGTTCTTTGACACAGAAAGAAATTGTTAACTTCATGTATGTGTCCTAGGAGTTAGTGTAACTATCTTATAGCTTGCTTTTTATGTTATCAGCACTCACAATTATAAAGTAACTGTTAGAGATGCCGATATCCTTTATATTCCACATTTACAGTTTTGTATATATTCGAACTGTTTATTCGCGCTCTTTTCCCACGCATGGGTCGTATTTCGTATGACCCACTATTGTTCTGATTGGCTCCTGACTTTTTAAATGTACTAATGATTCCTTGCCTTTCAAGGTTATTGTAAACTCCATAAATAGGGTCGGTTTTCACTCATAAACGCTTCAGTCCGAGATACTATAAACTCATCTGGTTTCCAGTCTTTTGATTTCTCTTTGCGAATCACTTGGGTTGCATCGTTTCAATCCCTGACCACCAATCGTTAAGTATTTCCGTTCGTTCTCACAACTCCGCATCATAACAATGAGTACGCAACACAAATAGTTAACTGATCTAAATTTATTTGTAACTAATAATTTCCATTTTGAAAGAGTATTCATAGTAAACACATTGATGCTGTGATGTGCCTACGAAATTTAGTCCTAAAGAGTTAGGAATAACTATAGTCAGCATACATATTCATTGTCATCAATAGTGTTTTGTGAATGAAATTGGAAAATCATAAATAAATAAACGCTACACGGTGAAAACAATAAGAAAAAGCACAAATTATTAAAAAAATTAACTTACGATTGGGAAACAGTAGGAGAAGCTGCTTCCGTTTTTGTAACTTGAGCTAAGTAAGATGTAGGTGGTTCATTCAAATCCCCAGAAGCGAGCATGTGAGTAAGTGATTCTGATGCTCCACTATCAGAGTATATAGTATGTTTGTCGGTATCGACGGATAACACATGGGAAAATTTGGGTGGTCTGCTGTAATCAAACTCTTGAAAATGATCATTATGGATCGAGTTAGCTATGGTACATAAATTGAAGTTAGAACTCGAAGAATTTGTGTGTATATCAGCATGACTATGTAAGTCGGTTAAAAAGGACTGATTGACTGTTTGGTCGTGGTCGGTATAAATAAATGAAGGTTTAATGTCAACATCGAATTTAGAATTGTTTGTATCACTGAGTCTCGATCTGAATGACATTTCAGGTTCAGATTCAGAGCTTGGTATGTTATGCAGAGCTGAGAAACAAAACAAGCGGATTATGAAATACACCTATGAATAAAAATGTTTATGACGTCTAGAAAGTAAAACAAAGCACAATGGTTATAGATGCCAATATCCCTTATTTTTCTTACACAATTATTGTACTCTTAAAATTCTTTTCAATTACGCCTTTATTCTCCAATGAGGGTAATGTTTCATATAAACTTGTAGTGCCAGGATCGGCTTCTACCTCTTCTGATACGCTAATTATCCGTTGTCATTCAACGTCACTAAAATTCTAGTGTCAGTTCGAGATATTATAAACTCTATTGAATACTAGTTTTCTGATTTTATTCTACGAAACACTTGAGTTCAATCAACTTGACCCTCTGACTCCCAATCGTCAGTTATTCTCATTTGTTCCTGCAACTCTACATTATAACAGTAAGGCATATAAGATCAATTTTAATCTGATGAATTGAAAGCATGGATATGTGTTGCAGCAACGTGTTTCAGAAACACGAAGGAGTCGGCTTTAATAGGTTTTTCGTGTACTGTTAGTAAGATATGAAGTTAAATAAATTTAGACGCAGTTATGAGCACGATAGTGGAGTGAAAGATGTCGGTTGTGACAAATTAATTTAGGTAGTCAACCGGTGAGTTGCAGGTTTGATATGGACTCCGTCTATTCAAGTTGTAGTAACAAACTTCATATAACAGGTTCAGCTCACTGCCTAATGCGTGAGCGTGATCCTTCTTTATGAAATAGGGGAATGAGAGCAACCAAACCCGATCCACCAAAACCAAATAAACACCAACCTGAGTGAAATAGACTCCAGAGACCTTAGATTCCAAACTTATCCGGTTCTTTTTTTTTCAAAAGTAAAAAATGGTAACGTTTTGCCGTAAGGATACGTTGACCTGGTCAATCGAAAGGATAACCAGTAAGTGAAACTAAAGTGAATCATCTAAATAGTACCTTTCTTTGATTATTCCATTGGATAAGCAAATAACAAAAACTTACAAGTAGGAGGCTATACACACAATATGCTTACCAAATCACCCATTACCGGTCGATACCTGCAACTCTGACGTAGTGGTCAGGCTTACCTATCACAACGACTAGACGAGCTATGCTGGTGGAACGCTTGTTCCCTCGAGGTCCTATCAAACCAGAATATATTGGATAGTGGTTAGACAAAAAGCAGTCACCATCATAGTGTAAATTATTAGATGATGATGGAAGCCCAAAGACAAAGGTGTGATAGCAGTAAGGTGTTTCTTTTAGATGACTAACAGCTGATACAGCCTTTCCTCTGAGTAGGGGGTATGTTTAGAAAAGGTAGGCCCGAAAAATTGCACACTACCACACCTTCGCGGAAAACCGATGCCTGCAACAGGGATTCCTGGTCCCATTCGAAAGCAGAAAACAAAAATCTCAAGCAAGTAAACAAGTCCCGTGTGACCAGCCTCATGCAGATGTCTGATGGGCTCTACGGTCACACGAATCTTTACTTTCAGGTACTTTAAAAAGAAATAGCATTCTACAGTGTGGGCAGCCAGCAGATGTCAACCACCCAAGCATTTCCAGTAGTACACAAGACTAAATCAAACATAGCCTATCCTCCTCAACTATGTCTCTCCTTTTGCCAATACCTCCTGATAATAATACTTAGCCTCTTGTGCCTTAGGCAAACTCTCACTCTGAAACTATTGCCAACGATCAAAGCCACCGAAAACCCACTCTCAGTCTCCCAAGACCCCACTGTTGATTTCTCATTGGAGCCTTTTAACTCCGAATGCAATACCCAATCGGACAGCAGGCATCACTAGTTGGAATTGTGGAATCTTGAGTGACGGATGTATGCTGCCTCTCAGACACGCATAAAGGAGTCAAGTGTGGTTGCTCACTTAACCTCATGGTAGGAAACGGCCTAAATCGAAATCAGCATTCTGAGTCATCCACAAAAATAGAAGCTTTGGACTTCAACCTTATTTAATGTTACTGTATGGGCAGAGAAAACCTTAATGGGTAATTTTGTCCTTCAGTTGACCAATCAAAATACGTACCCAATTCCTGACCTAGTGGCTTCAATTTGTAAGTGAAAACTGTGCGTAAATAATGTTTTTTGTCAAATAAAGCAGATTTCCTCACAATCACAGACAGATTTTTATTTTCTGATTTTCGCTGATCGTTGAAGTAACGGGTTTGAGAGCGAACAGAAATCATCGTATCAAGTCCAGGAGGCACATTAGATTAGTAGCATTCGTCTTATCTCGCACTATTCTCTAAGTCACTTTCAACTGGTCGCTTTAAATCATCTAGACGTGATGGATCTTCAGAATTCACCTACGAGTATCTGGAGATTCAATGACTAGCTCGTGTAGGCCTTGCATTGGGCTGTAGGGTAGAAAGCGTGCTTCTTGACTGGATACCAGTCAATAGTCGTCCGTCTATGTGCTGTTTCACTGAATTAATCTGTTAGAACTCGGAAGGATCGGGAAATCAACCGACGCCTACTCGTAATCTCCGCCTACACATCCAACAAATGCAGTTCGAATAATGCAAAGGATGAATTCCATCGGGTGTCAATTTTCATACAGAAAGAAAAACATTCAGTAGTAGTCATAATAGCAGGCGATTTCAACACTCAACTAGGGAAGTTCGGCTGGGATGAGCTGAGCCGAACCAAACTAATCGAAAAGCCAAGTTCCAGGTGTTCACAGAATCCCGGCTCAATAAACCGACAACCGTGATCGTCTCTTGCAATTCGGCTTCGACAATCATTTGTTTCTAGACAGCACTAACTTTAGGCATAAGGAGAGACACCATCTCAAATGGTGTCCACCAACATCAAACCAACAATGGACACCGATCGATCATATTGCTATAAGCCACCGTTGGAGAGGGTCGGTGGAGGATTGCCTCTATTTCGGCAGGACCACTTTACACTCTTCAGTCATGCGCTAGTATGGGCTCGTGTATGTCTGCGACTTACTGGTCGCAGGAAACAGGCCATAGTACAACCTGTCTGTGGTCGATTGGAAGATGAGGACGACAAGCACACACTTACACAGGAGTTAGCTAAGCATTCATCTGAACGTGACATCAATGTTCATCCTGAGGAAACCTGGAACGATATTCATTCTACCACAGAAACAACGGTAAAGATAGTTGGCAATCCACACACGAAGGTTAGAAAACGTCACTGGATTATAGAAACGTCATCTGAGCTGAGTGGTGAGAGAAAACAGATCCCAATGGCTCTGAACACTATGAAGAGCGGGAGTAACTTAGACGTAAACTGACCAACAGTCTACTCAATGACCACGACCAGTAGTGGGTGGCGAAAGCGAGAGAGGAGGAGAAGCCTACAGCTTTGGGTAACACTCTGCAACCATTTACGCTTATCAGTGATACCAGCAAGAAGAAATTGACGTCTAGTGAAACTATCAACCAAAAGGATGGTTAGCTAATAACATCCCAGGATAGGTGGCTAGAAGATTGGGCAGACACCTTTGAAGCACAGCTCACCTGTAACTCAGCATCGCTTCACTTGCCAAATATCCAGCCTCAATCTCAATGGGAGGCAGATGTCAGTCCTCCGACTTTCCTTGAAGTTGAGAAAGCCGTATCGAACCTGAAACGATGCAGACCAGGAGGATGTGACATTCTGCCGCCTGACGTTTTCAAGCATGGAGGTAGAAAATTGTTGCTCAAAGTGACGGACGCACCAGACAGTGTACGGGAATTAGAGGTAGTCTCATCAGACTGTCCTACTTCACTGGTCATCCCAGCCTATAAGGAGGCGAAGAAATCTCCTTGTGATAACCATCGGGGGATTAGTTTGATGAATATTATGTCCAAGACCCTAGGGTCAATAGTTATCCAACGCCTAACTGCAGCTCGAGAACAGTAAACTCGAGAAAACCAGACAGGTTTCAGACAGACCTGAGTCAAGGTGTATCCATCATACTTCCACCCCCTCAACAGGTTATAAAACACGCCCTTACTTACTGGTGGCCTACACTTGTCGTATTTCTAGACTTGAAGGCGGCAATTGACTCTGTCGACCGTGAAGTGTTGTGGCAGTGTCTGACTGTGAAGGGAGTATCGAACAAGTAGATTACGCTAATTAAAGCTTTCTACTCAAAATCATGGAGTCGTGTAAGGGGCTTCTGGAGAGTTGCCATCTGAATTGACGACAATTAGGGATGCCTACTATCACCGTCCCCATTCAACTTCGTTACAGACATATTGATGGACATAACACCATGTACGTCTGACATCACAGAGATTGACCTACTCCCTAGAGGGCATCTGATTGACTTGGAGTATGCAGATGATTTGGCTTGCTACGTGAAGATGTTGATAGAATGCAGGGTCTTGTGAAGGCGTTGAGTAGAAATATGAGGATGCTTGGAATGCGTTTCGCTAGTGCCAATCAAATGCAAGATGATGCCCCAGGGGATTTGTCTGCCGAACGGGGTGGTCACTGACGAAATCTCAGCTTGCATACAGAAGACCCGTATGGCATTTACCAACATGTGACATATGTAGCGCCGACTGGCGAGATGTCTCACGATCTATCAGTCGACGGGTATACTTCACTGCAGTCCGTTCTGTCCTGTTGTGCGGCTGAGACATGGTTGTTAAAAGTGGAAGACATGAAGCGATTATAGGTTTGGATCACAGATATCTTCGTAGCGTTGCTCGAGCTTGATGGAATCACCGTGTGAGCAATATTTAGGTCAGGGGAAGGGTACTAGGCAAGATAGGCAAGTCGACTGATGCGGTTGTGAACTTTAGTCAACTGAGATTGTTTGGATATGTACTTTGCATCCCAAACCACCATCTACTCTGACGTTCCATGCTAGGGAAATTGAATTAGGTTGAAAGAGGACTCAGTGTGATCAGATGAAGAACTGGCACTAGTCGACTAAGTCTTTTACTGTCAGTCTGAGTAGCGTAGCGCGGTGCAGGCTGTCCGGTTGCCGTACACGAGACGATAGGAATCAATGGTTTAGGTAGGACTCTTGATGATATGGCTGGAAATCGGTCACAATGATGCAGATGTGTTCACTCCATGACGTCTTAAGCTTGAATGTTCACACTGATCTTAATCTCCAGACCGTTTATTCTCTCATATAAATTTTTCTCGTTTGATATCACGTTTAATATTCACCTGGTTTTCGTGTACAACTGTTAGGTGTGGTAACTCGATCCGGTGTACCTGTATGCGAGGTTCTACCTTGATTCTGTCTCTCTGCAAAGACCCTAAAATAGAGTTGAGCAATCTGAGGGCAGGTATTTTTTTTAAGTTTGATGATGTGGTCGGTACCGTACACCTATACATTCGCAAAATGTGAGACCTAAATGAAATCAGATGGGCATCCTTCACTTTTTCCGTTTACAATTTTCGTTTGGCTGATGTGCATATGCAATGAAATTGTCTTTAAACTTACCAGAAATCTTTACTGTAATAAAGGATACTGCTAGAAACGTTAGGAAGAGTAATTTATAACTTGGGACAGGGTTTAAATGAAGCTAAAAGAGGTTTTAGAGTAACGCTAATCAAAAGTGGGTAATTAACGGCAGACAAATAAGAAAGGTATATTCGAACAAAAACATACTAAGGGGCTTATCGTCATGAGTTTCATGATGCCTCTTTTATTTCAAACACAAATTTGATACATGTGCAATAAAAAATACGCTATGCGAAAATCACTTAGGTCCATACACATTTAGTATTGAACAAAACTTACGGTTGTTAGGAAGGCCTGTATTATCGAGCATATCGTAGATTTGATGACTGGGTGACTGAGATCGAATCAACTGTGCGTCAGTTGAAGGAACGTCTGGGTCTGATTTAAGAATGTCCTCTTCCAGTTGGTCTAGAGGAGCAATTAAATATGAATTTGTATACAAAATGGAGGCTTCGGAAGCTCGACAGTTAACACGAATTCCATCGTGATTTTCCAAAACTGACATAATCTTTGAATAAGCAACTGAACTTTAGATTATATTGTATAAGATTATGTCATCAACTTGAATAGAAAGAGAAGCATTCCATATCTCATCGACAAATAACTGACCTACAAACGTCCAAAAATCAAGAATTAATTGGCAGAAATTTCAGTACAGTACCCTAAAGTGTACTTCACAACACAAAACGATCAATAGAAGTATAAAAAGAGCATAAACCAAACAGCTTAGAGTACGATTCACTACCGTATTCTTACCAGAGACTTCGTAGATTAGTATCATGTACGATTTGACTACCTTAAGTCTTCCTCAGCTCCATTTTTAATCCGCATATTGAACGTTGTCTCGGTATGTTACGTATATCTCAATCTGAGTATTTAATACAAGAGTATAATTTGGGTATTGTGGCAGAGTATACTTCTACATTAGACTTTATTCGATAGAGTACACAGTAACATTATTATTTACTGCATGACGTCTGGAGCGGAATTTACTGCTCATATTCATACCAAAGGCAATCTGAAAATCGTCAGATGGAATACATATGATTCTATGATTTACACATACGTAGGTTAGTTGTATGTGTGGGTAAGATAGTGATTTTACTTCAAAAAGAAGACTCGTTAAATACCTCAGTATGACCAAGCGACGCTACAGTTCATTATTTCCAAAATGCCATCTCGTGATCATGCGTGCACAGCCTGTCATGGAAGTCCTTGTTCGTACTCTACGTAGTTGGGGATACTCCCACAAGTGAATGTGGACTGCGTTTTCACACTAAGACGTAGAAAGTGGTTATCTAAAATGGTTATCTGTTTTAGCCACTGCTACTGCGTGTCACCTCAGTCCTCACAAAGACAATTAAATGGCAAACTCTAATAAAAACTTTAAAGTGCGCTTCTAATTATCCCGTCACATTTGAAATATCTCATTTTATCGTTGCCACATTTGTTCATGTCATGTATCTTCGTTGTAAATTTCAAGAGGATACAATACACAGGCCTAACTGACAGCTAACTTCGTAAGATTTTAAACCTTCATCGACTGAGGTAGCATGGATATGTACTTTGCATCCCAAACCACCATCTACTCTGACGTTCCATGCTAGGGAAATTGAATTAGGTTGAAAGAGGACTCAGTGTGATCAGATGAAGAACTGGCACTAGTCGACTAAGTCTTTTACTGTCAGTCTGAGTAGCGTAGCGCGGTGCAGGCTGTCCGGTTGCCGTACACGAGACGATAGGAATCAATGGTTTAGGTAGGACTCTTGATGATATGGCTGGAAATCGGTCACAATGATGCAGATGTGTTCACTCCATGACGTCTTAAGCTTGAATGTTCACACTGATCTTAATCTCCAGACCGTTTATTCTCTCATATAAATTTTTCTCGTTTGATATCACGTTTAATATTCACCTGGTTTTCGTGTACAACTGTTAGGTGTGGTAACTTGATCCGGTGTACCTGTATGCGAGGTTCTACCTAGATTCTGTCATTCAGTCAGTATCTTACCTTTTGCCTTGGTTGATTCTTGCTGAAGTTGCCGACAGGTTTAGAAACCTGGACAGCTGCGCAGTTATACCAGGCTCTCTGTTGATATTTTCTGTTATATCCGAAGTGAACAGCTTTGATAGGTTACTGAAAGATTGGGAATTAGACTCTCGTGAATCATAACTTCTTACCACGAAGTATCAAACGAATTGTGTAGTGCGAAGTAAAGTAACCAGTTGTTTTCATGCACGTGACGTCAATAAGAGTATTCTATAAGTGGATTGTATTTAAACGGTTGGATTTATTACGGCACCGAATCGGTACTAACGGCGTGTGATAATTTACGGCTAATGTAGTTTTTTTAGAAAGCATTTTTCAGGAAGAGTAGTAAGGTGTAACCGTCAGGTGACGCCATAAACTTTTGTAGAACACTTACTAGTGAATGCTGAGGGCTGAAGAAAAGATGCCTGATGCAAGGTATGAAAGATACTATAGTAGCACTTTACTTGAAAATAGATAATGGAACTAAACCTGGTACGTTTTTATGCAGTTGGCTGTGGGTCACAAATAGTTCGTTGCCAGCCGGTGGTCTCAGCTAATGCAGTTGGAGTACGGCTCAAGGGCGAGACCCAGAGCTTGGAAGTTACGTAGGTAAGCCAGAGCCACACTTAATACTAGAATAACCAACCAAGCGGTCAACAATGGTAAAGGAATAACTACACATCATAAATTGCTAAAATGAGTTCAAGTATTTACTGGAAACGACCCTCTAAATTAGTGATTTGTTAAAAAGCTAATGAAAACAACAAATGTTACTTTCAAAATCATTTACTGCGAAGTAATTGGAGCATCGCCCTAACAAAGTTACACGAATAATCATTGGTAATGACCTCTGATAGTTACTTAGCTTGTGTATCGACTCAATAGATTTTAAAAGCTTCAAATCAGCCTTGCAGTTTTCAGGCAAACTAAATTATATGAAGGTACCAGCTACATGAAAACGCGGTCAAGTAACGAAAGTGATGTTGAACTCTTAGAAATGACAAAACTTGGTTTAGTCCCGTACGACTTTGTGCATTAGAGTGCAATAGTTACGACGGCATGTTATTTAACGTAAAAACCTAAAATTGAGTAATTTGAACGGAGCTTGAACCTGTATCCAAACGATTTGAAGACCAGTTTATTCGTTTCTGTGGGAGGAAAATTCATGGTCGTAAAATAAAGTTTGATATTTCTAATTTGATCCTGACGATTTACCACATAGTAATGATTTTATAAACTTCAGGATCAAAATTTGGCCTGATAAAGTTGAATAAGTTGAGCATTTGGCAAATGGATTATTAATGAAATATACTTGTGAAAGCCCAATGAAGCAGAAAATTTAATTTCTGACGTTTCTCAACTTTATGGGACGCGAAATATCATAAATTTATTTTCCTGCTTCCTTAAGGTTTTACAAGCATATCTCATTTGTCATGTAGTAATGACACTAATTTAATCGTCCATTTACGTATACAAGTACTGCTTGTTTTCAACTAGATGTTTGGATCAGATGCCTCAGAAGTTATACATGTTTTGTGCTCACTGCTGTTCAAAAGCAACTTACAAGCAAAATCATGATTAGTTTTCATCACCATCAGTTCCTGCCACAAGCATGTCAAGTGGGTATGTCCTGTTATTGATGTCAACTAATTCCACAGTTCTTCCACAATAACAAACATGAAATTATGCATGAAGAAACTCATAGGTAATTAGAGTCTCAAAGGGACCATTATTCAATAACTTGAATTAGGCCTCCAAGAGGAGCAAAGAAGCTGCGACTATAGTCTAGGCACTCGACTTCTAAATTGTGAGCCATAGGTCCAAACTTTTCGGCCTAACAAGGTCTGGACAACCAGGTAGTATAATTAGCTACCAAAAATTGGCTCACCGCCTACAGCACGAACGTACAAGTGCTTGCCGAATGTAATCCAATCTCGGCTTTCCGGTAAGAGGAGCATATTCAGCTCGTAAAGCACATGCTCGCCTTCCCCAAGACTATGCACAAGCAGAAAACGTAATCCAGTGGTGTGAATTCTTAATTAGATACAGAACAACTCGAAGTTTCTGAAGCCTCACCAAACGAAAAAAGTTTTACAGATGCAATCAGAACCGGGGATAGCTTTCATATGCTAGACTAAACGTTTTATGAATTACATGATAATTATTCTACTTCCGGTATTAGTGATTTATTGTACGCTTTTGAGGACAAGGCAGCTGGCACTCAGTAAGCCCAGCTTCTACAAGATCCTTCGATGTAAGGCAAACAAAGTCAACGTAGAACCTTGTAGACGAGTGAATCGATTTAATTTACTACACTTCACAGCATTATTTAAAGAAGAAAAATGGATACGAGAGACTGATATGACAGCAGAGAAAGGAGTATGGGAGGAGAATGAATTCTAAAATAGTTAATCAAAACATTAAAGCTCTACAAGTTGAAGCGAATGCTTCTGCACAGTTCGTAATCAACTTTGTTTACTTCGACGTAAATAAAACTTTTGTGATAAATCCTTGCTGTAGATGTCATAATAAGCAATTTAATTCCCTCTTGCTTAAAGAACAATTTACAGATATTGCACGGAATTACTAAAGCATCCTTCTAAAAGACCAGAGAGATGGGACCACCAAAGAGGATATTAGGAGTTGATTACTGTTCGGCAATTTTATGGCTTTTGACAGACATTTAACCAAATTGACAGTTTTCTGCCTTAATGAAATTACTTCCATGTTCTAGTGGACTTTAGGCAGCAAGGAAAATGGCCAAGAAATATATGTGTACACTTTGTGAATAAGATATAGCTTTTGTTTTTTTTATATTTACAGATTATCCCAGTTCTGTTGTTAGACTTTATTAAATCAGGAATCAGTGCTGAAAGATTGCAACTCGAATACATTCAGTGACGCTGTCATTTAATCTGGAAAAATTATACCTTTAAAGGAACTACATTACCCCGCAAATCTGTGTATAACTTCAGCAGGACACTTGAACATACCAAGTATATTCGGTGGATAAATACTTAACGTCTGAGGGGTAGCTTCATTCAATCCAAGTGGAACTGATGGCTTACAAATGTGGTGACATTTAATTCCATGATTGAAAGACCCGAAAGTAGGAGTAATTGCAGCGCAGAATAAGGTAACAACTAGTAGAGTTACAGTAGAGTAGGTGTAAATAAGTAAACACGTAAGGGGAAATCAAGAGGATGGATTGAAAAGTGGGGGAAAATAAGCTTAAGTGAGAAAGGTAGAAAAATGGACATAAGAAGCGGATATATTGAGAGTGTGGAATCAGGCGGAAGCCAGTCAAGATAAAAACCAAAATGTGGATGAAGAACAAAGAAAATGCACTGACCACTGAAGGTAACGAACATGGGGGAATGGAAGAATGGAAGCTTGGTTAAGAGGCAACAGTTGCATGAGAAATACATAAACAACTCAAGGATGTGGCAATTCCTCGTCAATGTCGTCCTGCTTTAGCAAGCAACTTCTACTTTAGTTGCAATACTTCCTTCACTCTGGCCGACCTTATACAATCTTTTTTTGTATCTGTACTGCAATATTTGAAAATTCACAGACAAAATGAATGCGAATGTGCAGCATATAGATACTCGGAATTAAAAATGGTTTCTGCTAGCTGCAGAATCAGCTGGCTTACTTACAAGACTCGAGTATATGTTCTGACTTCAGGTCTGATAAGAACGCAAACCACGCGCTACCGCGTAAAGTGAAATAAAAATTGAACCTTTAAATCTTGAACTTCCAAATTTGACATTTGCCACAGTAGTTCCAACCGAAGACGGATAATATCTTTCAGATTCTTATGTTCCGCTTTCGAGGCTCAGTTCTTTTCTTAGTAACACGCCTTAGGTGGTTACAAAAGGTCGTTTCAAACAACGTGCACATAGCTTCTGGAACAAAAATAGTCTGTTTGAAGGTTTATTTTCTCAGAGTGAAGGCTTATTTACCTGAGTAGCAGCGTAGACGCAGATAACTCAAGCAAAACCTTTCTACTTCTGTCTTTATAGGTGCATGTGGCTAAGTGTGAAAGGGTTAACTGAAAAACTGCGAAACATTCAGTATCATAGTAGGGGGGGGGGGTTGAATAGATAGCAAAAGAGACCATAAACAATGCAAAGCGACAAGGGCGCTACGGACAGCATGAATAGGTGTGGTCGAAAACATAAATCGTTAAGTGGGGAACCAGAAGGGTAGGTAAGAATACATTCACTTGCTACCAGTTTAAATTTTTGTTGAACCATGTTTTCTGACTTACTCGTTTAACATTCTCCTAAAATGGTCACCTAAAGAGGCTAGAGATTCTTCTTTCTGCACATTATGCCATACATTGTATGCGGTGTAGGAGAAAAAAAGGATCCAACCTTCGTTTTAGCCCTCTGCTTGGGTATACTTGTACGGTTCCCATAATACAGCTGTTCTTTTAGGTCACCTCTTTTTCGACAGCTTTAGATGAGCAAGCTACACTGTCCTGAGCAGTGTGTCCTTTTCATCTGTTGCTCTGATAACGGAATTCATGGCTGCTCCTGAAACCTTCTTGTTAATGCCTGCATCTGTCTAGCATACCACGTTATCATGTTCAACACCAGCCACGATTTCCTAACCTTGGTCTTATCAGATGTAAGAAATAGTCCAGGGGCAAAAGACCTGTTTTGTCTTCCTAGAAAGTGTGTTCGCTTTTGTTCCCATTCTTTGATAATTAACAACGTTATCTTCCAAGTGGGAGAAGTGTAGTCCAAGCTCCCTCTTTGCGGCCCCCCAGGTTATCGTCAGTCTTCAACACTCTCAGCACTCGAAGATATACCATCCTGAAATTCTCACTGCTGAGGCAATTTCCAGCTATTTGGAAAGAGATTTACGACGAATCTTTGTGGAACATCTCAAAATTCTCGTTCCAGTCTACTTTGGGGCATAACTCTACGCCCACCATGTGTGCTCCAAGGCAAGCTGCGAGCTGTTTGGTGACGCCCAATTTCATTAATTCAGTCGATATGTTGTTATATGCTGTGCTGCGGAGAGCTACAACTAAATCTTGAAGCACGACATAAACTGCTGGCCTGTTGTTTTGTCTTGTATTTCGTTCATCTCAAACAGCCATCCCATTTGTGACACAGCCCTCAAATCTCGGACCACTTTAGGTAGGATCAAAAGTAATGCTTCTATTCACACAACCCATAACGGAACCGTCCAACCAGGCTCTCCGGTTCCCGGAAATTATGTGCAGCAGCGTAGTCAGTTTGTATTTACATAGGTTTTATCGTTCTGTTTCCTTGAAGATTTGTGGAAGGATAGCGTTCTTCCATTGTCTTGGGAGTCGACTTGCTTCCAGAGAATCCACAAGTGGATCACATGTATAAGCGGCAATAAGGCTGCGAGACTTTTTAGTAGACCAATTGGTCTTATGTCACGCCAGGAAATTTTCTCGGTCGGAGTGGGGGGATCTTTAAAGCATATATTTCGGCGAAATTTTTTTCTCACCCAGCTTTGCATCGTAACCCTGGAGTGTGTGCTACAAGACTGGAACCTGGTTGCAGGCAGATAAACGTGGTGTAGTGCTCATTTAATCGTTTCCTGAGGGATCTGGCTATCACCATGCTAGTACGAGCTTCACATTTCGGTCCTGCTGAAAGGTATGTCTTTATTCGCCTATATTCACCGAAAAAGAAGCATGCACGGGCACGTAAAGCTGAAACTTTATCGTGTAGCTTATCCACTCTAAAAGCTGAAGGAACCGTTGGAAACTCTTGTGCTAGGTAATTGCAAATCCTTTTGTAGCCCAGAAAGTCCAGTTCTACTCTGTGTGCATTTCCCACTGATTATATCTTTGCAAAGAAATCAAGAAAACATATATGGCGTCTCTGTTTCGTTCTGGCACACCCCAACATCATCGCGGGTCAGGCGTCTTATATACTTCGAGTATTCGTTATTTCAAAAAGAATGCCATTCCCATGGTCGTACCTCATTGAAATGATAATATTTCATGACCTGGTAGTCAGCATCAACTTCAAACGACATGCGAGGAAACTGCCGTCTCGTATCATAAATGTATGCCCACCATTGAATACATACCGAGTGAACCCACTCGTGGTTCATCCAATCTTCATGTCCATGTCGAATTACATAACAATAGATCTTATAACAGATATGAAACATGACGGCAGCATCATTCTTCGTGGAACTTTAAGTGGAATTCAGTCGTGAAGTCTGGTACCACTGTCACCGTAAGAAATGGAGTGACTGAAGTCCTTGTTTGGGAAACTAGTGGCAGAGATTTGTGAAATGAAATAGCACAAGAAAATATAAGACAGGAGTCGCAACTTGCGTCCCTTTCTGGATGAGCTTAGTGTATAGCTGGCAACCTTTTGCTAGTGTGCATCTTAACTGATAATAAATCCACTGACGGAGTCCATGTCAAAACACCAACCAGGGCAGACAGTTTGTCGAGATTTACCACTGCCGAAGTCACCACGTGGCTTGGGTAAAAGCACAGTTGAATGGTTTACAACTTCCTCGGCAGGAAAAAATAGGTAACACTACGGGAAACTTGGCTTCGAGGAGCAAAAGTGCATTATATTCGTGCTAAGTACTATAGACTAATAGAGAGCCAACCGGACTGCTGCTGTCTTATGTGCCTTCAATTTGAAATGCTGACTGAATCAGAAAAAATTGTCAAATCTAAATTCGCCTTACAGAATAATGATAACTTCAAGGCAATAAGGATAGTTCTTGCTAAAACAGAGGTCAAAGGACAGGCATATTGCTGTGTTTACAGATCTGGTAGCAGTACAACATGATTTAGTAGTGAGAAGTTCCCTCGACGTACCTACTTCTTATGTCTCCACCTTACTCAGGCGCTGTAAATCTAGCAGCACTGAAAATTCCATTGAACAAAGGGGAAAAAGATGACTGCGAAATGCATGATGTAACAGCACAATCCAGCACTAAGTGAATAAAGTATCGAAGCCGACATATCTTTTCATTCTGATCTTACCAATTTAACATGGGAGGAACCAGCTTAAAGGCTCTATCCAGTTGAAAACAGCTAAAAAAATGACAACCTTTGGGCTGTCCTTCGTGATACTGGAGGCAAACCAGCAAGCTTTATCATATCACCATGAGTGTCCACAAAGTACGAACTGGAAAAATATATCACTTTTTAGTACATAGCGTTTACGAACTATTTCATCTTCGTTCAGATTCCTTACCTCCCTTGGGTTGCGTCCTAAACGTGCAACATTCGTTGTTTAATACATGTCTAGCCTGTCTGTGTATTTCAATGTTTCACCAGACAAACGTTAGTTTTAACATGACTTCTCATGCTTAGAGCTCCATTGGCCAAAGGTGACTCACTTATGCAGTCTGAAGAAGCAGTAAGTGTCCACACAACCTTATGATCAAGGCAACCATACAACTTCAACTACTTTCCAGTCTTTAAACGTTACGGCTCACAGCAGTATGGATTTATGTCATCAGAAATGGTTGTGATGGTGCAGAAAAATAGATGTTACGAGAACTGCTGTCCGAATGGCAATGGTTTGTGAGTGCACTTAAAATTCACTTCATGCCCAAGTGCTCAACATTATTAATAAGGGCATTTACGGAAAAAAGGAACATAACTTGAATGGATCAATCAGAAAGAATTCTGTGGGAATCACCTGTGCAGTAAGGCTGACGGTTAATGGATCAGTCAATAACTACCATTGTTCAAAATGCCGAACTCTGTTCATTTGACTGTGTCTTCCCCACTAATTGGTCGGGTTGAGAATCGTCTAGGAAGTCGTTGAACGTTGGTGAATGACAGCATGTAACCATACATCAGCAGCGGCCGAAACAGTTTCAAATCATGGTGGTTAGCGGTGGAGATGTTAATAAATAAATAAATATCTTTATTCTCAAGTTATGAAGTTGACATGAGAGAAGCCAGTTTACAGTCCTCATCAAATTGATGATTGCAGAGAAACATAAGAGGTTTCACCGGTATTGAATGATACAGAGGGAGGACACTAAACTCTATCATGATACCAAGTGTCTAAATGTTATGAAAGCAGCAGGAAAATATCACTTTACATTACATACACATCGTTCTGAGTTTAGGCCATTTCCGCCCACAACTCTTTCTTCGCATCAAACGGCGTAATACTTGGTGTTTGCGTTGTGAGTAGTCGACATGATTGACCTATCTACAAGACCAAGTGTTTCGTCAGATAAACGTCTATTTTAACAGCAATTCTCATTTTCGTAGATTTGTTGACCAATAATGACTTACTTCAACGATTTCAGGAATAAGTAAGTGTCCATGCAATCACATAACCCAGGTGAATGTCCGAGATCAGGCGTTAACGCACGAGTGAGAAATTTCTCACTCAGATTGGTAGTACTGAAAACATTTGTTGTGGTGCAAGTAATTAAAGAATGGAAGAATCGTCATTCAACAGTGGTGAATATTGCATATGTGTGAAACTTCAAAGACTTAAGTCTATGAATTCACATTAAAGTATGCAACACTGTCGTGGAGATACATTGGCTTTTAGGATTTGTCCTGGTGCGAACTTGACAGACGCAAAGACCAATCACTAATTATTCGAACTTGTTATATACCCACGAATACGAGACCAAGGAAGAACACGATAGCGTAGTCGGATGGAATAGTATATTTGGATGGTTATGCCAAAATACCGATGCGTTCCAACTAACTGGCTAGAGAGTCGAATACGAGCAATGCAACGTAACACG